AAGGAAGCAGAGGACCGCTGCTCACGGAGGTGCCCAAGTACAAGCAGACCATCTTCTCCGTCCTCCCCTAGGTAACTTCATCTTCATCCCACATCCAAGTAGGTGTTTCGTTTGAACTAAATTTGATTCAGTTTCCGGACAACTAGGTTTGTTTTTATCTGGCGTTGCGGGAGTCTAGATAGCTCTGCAATAGTAGACTCATGACGTGACCACGCAGCTCTAGTTCTGCTAGTCCCCATTGAAAATTCTGAATCTTCATCAGTTCTGCACTGGCTGTTAATTTAAATATTTAATCCTATTGCTACACTTAATTTCTGCAAATTTAATGAACTGGACAACTGAATGCAAATGTATTTTATTTGCACTTGCTCTCAACTGAATATTGTACGAAGACATGATACATAAGCAATCTTTATCAATAGCTAAAAATGTGTAGGCTACAGCTTGTGTGTGATAGTGTGACTGATGTCAATGACAAGTAGTGAAGTGCTTGTGTCTAGATACTATTATATCTGCAACTGTTTATCTACCTTTCAAAGCATCATCCCACTTTATATTTTTAATAACTTGTAACTGCTATGCTGCTCCCTAGGCCATTAACTCGTCCAGCAAGCAAGGCAAGTAAACCAGGCAACAACCAAGCTGACTAGCACAGTTCCAGTTCCCGTGAGATCTACTATGACAAAGATGACAAGGAGCAAGAAACTTGCAGGTATACGACTTGTTTGTTTAGTGTGCTGTTTGGGTTTCTATGGACGTGAATTGTGCTTTGTATAGTTTCGTGCCTAGCTAATGTTTGTAACCTATTAATCGAAATTTACGTCTTTTAGGATTGCTAATAGTTCGCTCCTGATATGTACTCTGTATAAAAAATAAAATAGTTCGCTCCTGATTTGTATTTGTATTCTAGGATTGCTAAGAAACTCGCAGCTCAGTTGTTTGTGCTGTCTTGCTTCTCCTATGCATTTCAACCATTAAGTCTTACAATTATATTTTTTGTTCATGTAAAGAAGCGCCAACTACTGAATATGAGAAGATTAGGGCTAAAAATATGATGAGGAACAACCGAATATTCCAATCACTTGGCATCGCTGCATTAGGTATGATGGTTAGGAACTCAAATCAAATGCAGCAAGGTAGTGCCATCACCGGTGGGGACTCAGCTTCTGCCATAACACAACAAGGCTCAAGCTCTGAGTACAGTCCTGACGATGAGGTCATTGAGGAGGATGAAGTTGATGATATTGTAGTGGAGAAGGAAGATAAGGTGCTAATTCTACCTTTGTTTTTGAGGGATGAGGGCTATTTGTATGCTATATGTGCTTGAGTGCTTTTACTAATTTTTGAAAGACATTTTCTTGCATGAGATCTAATAGTTGTCTCTTTTTTATTATAATGCTTTGAAGGTTTCTAAGAAGGCAAGGAAGTCAATCAATAAAAAGACTAAGAAGAGTTTTGATAAACCTTCTGAGATGGCTCCAGGAAAAACAAGGGTGATTGCTCCAGCCTCAGGAGGCTCAAAGAGGGTGCTACCTGGTTTGAACTCGGATGAACATGAATCTGCTCGAGTCACTAGGCAAAAAACAAAGCTGTCTCTAACCAACCATGAAGAAAGTCTTGTGCAAATGGATGTAGGAAGCCCAGCAAATGTGGATGAAGGAAGCCTCCATGTGCACGTGGATGTAAGAAGCTCAATGCACGAAGATGAAAGAATCCTGATGCATGAGGGTGAAGTAAGCCTGATGCAGATGGGTGAAACAAGCCATGTCCCATCTACTCTGTGCACAAATCAGCCAATTGAAGTTCCTGAGTTCTCTGACCAACAGCTTGACCAACAACGGCAAATGGACGTTGAAGGCAAGTAATAATAACACATGATCAGTTATGAAATCATGAAATGCAAACTTGATTTATGTTAACTATATGAATGTCTCAAGAAGAAGCATTTTGACAATGTACCGGCCAATCTAGTGAGTGTCAAATCTCCTGATAAGAATGTGACAGATGCGGAGTGGCAAAGGCTGGTCAAGATGTGGTCTATCGCAAGGCACAAGGTATTCATACTGTAGTTCTATGTGAAGGAGTTCATTGTGTCTATGTTTACCATTGTGCTTGTTTTATCTTGCCATGTTCATACGATAGCTATTTAGCTGGTATAATAATGATGATGTGCTTGTTTACCATTGTGTCTATTGTGCTTGTTTTATCTTGCCATCGTTGTGCTGCTTGGAGAGATGATGATAACATTGTTTTCATGCTATTATGGGTGCATACACTTTTGAACTGCAACTTGGATTGCAATCTGTAGGAGCCTTTATGGTTGCTCCATTAATTCTCATGTTTCTTTTTCCATGGTAGGAAACCTGTCAGTCGAACAAGGAGAACCGTTCCAAAGTTAAGTTCCATCAGAAAACTGGTTCTCGCCCCTACATTTCCCATGTGCATGCTTTGGTAAGGATCTCTCATGTTATCATTTGCTACTACAGTGATTTTTTCAGTTGTTTCTTATTGTTCCATTGTGTCGTGAACAATTTCAGAAAGAGGCTCGTAAGGGTGAAGAGTTGACTGCGTTTGATCTATTCAAGGAGTGCCACAATGGCAAGAAGACTGGTTTCTCTAAGCCAGTTAAGAAGGCGATAGTAAGTTTCTAGTATTCTTTTTCGTGTTGATGAGGCTTGTTTACCTCATCCTTGTTACACTTGATTACATTATATGACTTCTGCTTGACGGATTTGATAGAGATGGTTTTTTCAAAGTAGTACCGTATATGATTCATGTTTTGTTATAGTTTGTTTGTACCAGTCCTCTATTTCATTGCATTGCATATTCATTTTGGTACTGGAAATGCGACAATATTCAGGCAATTTTAGTTCTTGTTGCAGTCCAGCAGGTATTGCTTGTCGTTGGACACTGTTAATTAAGAGAGAGCGTTGTATGCTCTTTGATTATTTGTCTAGTGATTGCCTGAAGCATCTATCTTCCCATCTTTCGGAGTGGAGAAACTCTGTCATTTCATATACGATCTGAATGAAATGTTTAGGACTTGTGGAAGTGGATTTCTCTGATACTATATATTGTACTAAAGAAACAACATATGCGCTCCTGAAACGTACTACATTCTTCGCTGCTCCATGTTCCCATTTAAGCTAAACAGAGATGCACATAGTTGCCTAATTTAAATTTCAACAATGGTTTGTTGTGTATGCTTACCTGTTTAATAAACCTGGTGCCATGCTTCTTTCATGTAGCTGATAGTAACTTGCAAAAAAAAAGTGATTCCCAAGGATGATTAATTCTGCTTGCCTGCTTCAAAGTTTTCAAATAACTAGTTAATTAGTAGCATGGAGACTGGATTATTATTTAGTCAACATTCTTGAGTAGTTTGCTTATAAAGTTTCCTAGTTATTCAGAACCAACTGCAATGACATGTGTGTGCATCTTTCTTTAAATGTCAGGCTGACATGGAAAAAGCTATGGAACAAGGGGTACCAGAAGGTGGAGAACCAAAGAATGTTGCTGCTGTTGTTGCTGACGTTCTCACTAAAGAATGTCCCTCCAGCACATTCCTTCAAAATGTTGGCCTTGAGTCGAGCTCCAAGAAGAAGTTCAACAAATCTGCAGCTGCTTTGGATGCTCATGTACAATAACTAGAGTACATGCTTGAGAAGGAGAGGCGAGTCGCTAAGCTGATGCGAGAGGAGCTTGTTGAGGTCAAGAAGAAATCAGAGGAGACCGAAGCTGCACGCGCCGTAGAGTACCAGTTGTTACTGCAAAGAGTTGAGGCCACCGATGCTAGATTTGCGCGTCTCATGGATCTATTCGAAGGTTAAATAGTTTAGTACGGCGTGGTTGATGTTGGCTTTGGGACTTTTGATGTTGAGTTGTTTTGACCTGGGGTTGATGAGTTTCTTTGACTGGACATGTGAACCACAATATGGACCAGAGATTGGCTGTGGTTTGATGAGGTTGTGTTTTGGTTGGTGCGTCTTAATCTTATGAACATGGTGTACTGATACTAAGCTACAGGCTATGTTATTTTGGTTGGTGCATCTTATGAACTTGTGGTGTAATGATACTGTTGGGCCTAAGTTAATGAAATCTTGGAGAATTGTATTGGTTGACTGCCAAACTGTGCAATGATTTTTTTTGAGCTACTGTTGGTTATTGGCTGGACCGAAAATACTAAATTATATGAGTGGGCTGGCTCGTCTCAAGGCCCAATATAGATTTTTTTTGATAGAAAAAGATTCATATATTTTTTGTTGGTTAGAGAGAAGGGCTGGCCCAATTAATGATAGATTGAATAAATGGACTGCACATTGCCTGAGCCCAAGAACTAACATTAAAAAGTCGTGGCCCAAAAATAAATGTAAAAATGGGCTAAATTATTGGGCTCAGCCCATTAAAACAACTGATTTGGACTAATCCTACGTGGCATCCACGTCATCATTTTTTCCACGTCAGTGCCACGTTTGTTCAGCCACATCAGATCCTACGTGGCCTAGGCTCATTAGTAATGACCATAATTTTGGTCAAAGATTTAACGACGAAAATTTTGGCCAACGGCGGTCATGACTAAAATTCCAGAAAAGGTCACGTTTGTTCGTTCTTGACGGTCAACTGTTGACCTTCCGAATTTGGTCAAAAAAGGTCAATAAATGAAAGCAATGACGAATTAACGACCAAAATGGGGAGTCATAATTGACCGTATCTCTTGTACTGTATCCACATGCATATCAACTAGATACTGGTTGACTGTTCTCGTAGTTTTCTGATATGCAATTTTCCTATCCATATGCAGCAGTTGTATTTGTATATGACTTAATTAGGCTTCTAATGTGCAAGTTTTTTTGGATCCATTGTACCTTTGCATGACCAAATGCATGTGCAAGTTTTTTCGTCATCCTGAAATCTATCCAGTTTCTTGTTTTGTACTACTACCAATTTTTAGGAGAGAAAGTCATACCAAACTTAAATAGGTATATTTTCCTTATGCAGTTATGCCTCGTCTTCCCTTAAGTGCGAGGCGTGGAAGGAGAAATGCAATATTTTTTAATCTGACCACTTCCATTATGCTTGTATACTATTATGTGTGGTTCATGTTTGCATTAGCTTATAGGAGAAAATGTTGGCAAATAGAAAGGAGAATTAAAATTAGAGAGTTAAGGGGAGAGAACTTGTATCGACTAATTGGTGAGAGCGACGCCATGTGTATAAGTCAACTTCGTATGGATAGGAGAACATTTCATATATTATGTGAGATGGTGAGAGATGTTGGTGGACTAAAGGGTACAAGGAAAACATCATTAGAGGAGATAGTGGCATCATTCTTGTATGTATTATCACACCATCTCAAAAATAGGTTCTACACATGATGGTCGGGTTCTTAGGGATGCCATCTCACGGCCAAATGGGTTGCGTGTCCCCGAAGGCCAATATTATCTTGTCGATGCTGGATACACAAACGCAAAAGGATTTTTAGCTCCATATCGAGGTCAAAGATATCACTTGGGTGGTTGGACACCACAAAATCCACCTCGTAGCACAGAAGAATATCTCAACATGCGCCACACTAGAGCCCGAAATATAGTAGAAAGGTGCTTTGGAAGGCTAAATGGTCGGTGGGGGATTTTGAGGTCTCCTTCCTTTTTTCCCATGAAGACCCAATGTCGAATCATCATGGCATGCACACTCTTGCATAATCTTATATTGCAAAAGATGTCTGTCGACCCACTTGATATCAACGAGCCAATAATACAAGAAACATTAGAAGACATGGAGGGAGAATTGGACCAACCAGAATTCATCACATCTATCTCAACTTCGAATGAGTGGACAAATTTTTGGAATGAACTTGCTCAGGGCATGTATAATAGACCTAGGGCTGCTAGGGCGCATTGAGGTATAAGTTGTTTCTATTTGTTCCCTTCTATATATATTTCCATCTTATTTACATTTGTTCCCTTTCAATTATATTTGCAAGCTACAATTGCATGTCGTTTGCATTTGTTCTCTTTCATATATATTTGCTATCTCATTTGTACCCATTATTGCTTGTGTAGATATGGACCGTCTGGATAGCTCGAGCACGTCTCATGGAAGAGGCAAGAATAAAAGGAATTGGTCTTCTGATGAGGACGACGAGCTTATTAAAGCTTTGTATGAGTTATCTTTGGACCCGAGGTGGAAAGCTGATGGTGCCTTCAAGGGTGGATACCTGGGGATATTGGAAAAGCATCTTGTTGAAAAGTGTCCAGGCCGTGGTATCACTGCATCTCCGCACATTGAATCAAGAGTGAGGCACTTCAGGAAGAAATTTGGTGCCGTTGAAGTAATGCTATCCAAAAGTGGATTCACATGGGATGGAAGTCGAAAGATGATTCAGTGCGAGAAGGCACAATATGAAGCTCATTGTCAGGTAGATCACTTGAACCACTAAAACTGAATTCCTTAGTAATGCTTTGTGCTGAATTTCCTTGCTATTGTACCTTGGTTACCTGTTATTGTAGTGTTTTCTCTTCAGTATTTTTTGTATTTGGATCATCCCTTGCTGCCTTTTTAGTGCTACTATTCCTAAGATGTTCAAGGAGAAAGTAGTACCGTTTCTATCCCGTGTTATTGTCCTTGCTATTGAAAACCAAGTTTCTTCTTTTGTAAAAAAAACATGTAGATTCACAAGGAGGCTAAGGGATTGTATGGTGTAGCATTTCCATACTTTGAACAATTGGCTGCTATCTATGACAAAGACATTGCAACAGGAGAAAATGCGGAAGGCTTTGGAGAGGCAGTGGGAAACTTGGAGAAGGAAATTGCTATGGAGGAAGAAGAAAATGAGGAAGAGGACATGATCTCAATAGGAACAGCTCGACGGTCCATTGACACTTGCTCTATTGATACAACTAGTTCGAACAGGCAGAAAAAGGAGCCAAGGCCAAAGAGGGCGACGGGACCAAGCGATCCATTTGCGGCCATGCTTCAAGATGTTAATAGCCAGCTGAACAGCATGACACAATGTGGGTGCAATGGCAACATCATTTACAGTAGCAATGGCACAATAAGAAGCAGAAGAAGACCCTCAACAGAAATCAAGAGAAAATGCAATTAGTGAATTGTCTAGGCTTGCATTTACTGGGAGCGAGATCGTTGAAGCTGCAACAATATTCGCTAAAGCTCTAGAGCACATGAACATGATGCTTGTGCTTCCAGGCATTCTGAGGAGGGACTTCGTCCTGAAAATGATGTCCGGTATCCCTTTTTCTAAACTCTCTTTAATAATATGCACTATCTTGTGATGCAGTTTTTGTTTTTCCCGATTGTTGATTCGTGATCTAACTAGGTAGGTTGCTGAAATCAATGAAGTAACAAGGTGAAAATGTTCAAGAACTCATGTGTGACCACATTTTTCTAATATGTGATATCTAGACTGCCATATAAATCTGTATGATAGTTGATAAATTATGCTCCTGTTACATAACTAATTTATAACACATTTTGTTATTCTTGATTGAACTTATTTGTAAACCTTGGGGGTTGATAGCATCCTGACATTTATCACCATGAGTGGCTCAAGTGAACTAAAATTTCACTAGTACAGAGCGGCGTATATAAGCAAGAGTGGTTATTTGCAGTATATATAAGCCAAACTTGTAGTGACATAGTGATGTGGTGTTTTTGGTTGGTCATATATAAGTCAAACTTCTGCTGAAGTTTTTTTCCTTGTATCTAACTCCTGCTTATTGGCTCCTCATTGGTAGATGAAAGAAAAAAGCAAGGTTGATGGGAAAGAAGGTCCTTTTCCAATAATGGTGTGACATAACTGGTGTGTACAAAATCCACCTCATTTTACTATTGTTATATATTTGTCAAAAGTGTTGAAAAGCATGGAGTAGATCTCATCCTTTCCACCATATTTTAGTATATGTTCTTGCAGTATACACCATTGTAGTCTGTGTTAGCTAAGAGAGTGCTTTTCATTTCATTGGTCTTGCAGTATACATCATTTTCCTATTGTTATCTTTGTCAAAGTGTTGAAATGCATGGAGCAGATTCCCACCTTTTCCTTCGTCAAAGTGTTGATGAGAAAGAACAATCATGTTATAGTTGCTATTAATTTTATTATTATTGGTTGTTTCTTGTGTGTTTCTTTATCCTCATTTTAACTCGTGCTTATTGGCAGATGAGAAAATAAGCAAGGTTCATTAGAAAATGGGATCAGTGTTGTGGCGTGGAAGATGAAGATCCATGGAAAAGCTTCTTTGCAAGATTGTGAACTTGGCCTTTCTATTTATCCTATAATATAAAAACAGTTTTAGGGACTAATTTTGTAGTTTATTTCAAAGTGTCGTCGAATTCCGAGTTCGTATCATTTTCATTTTAAAAATGTGTAATATCGTTAAAGTGAAGCCAAATTCTGGTTAAAAGATGTCTTTGTATTGGATGAATGCAAAAATATTTCTAAATTGTGTGCTTGTCTGATGCATGTGAAAGCCCATGTTGTGTTCTGTATTGTGAAAGGTGCCTGTTATTGTGTCAAACCAAACACTATTTAGGTACCTGTTTCCTTTACACTGTAGAACCAAACAAAATAGGGTTTGTCCAGTCTGGTGCTGTTACAGTCCGTAATCAGGTTCCATTTACGTTTACGTTATCACTGGACGAAACAAACACCTCCATAGAGCAACTCTAGCAGACCCCGCATCCCGCCGGCCCGCAAAACGCGTTTGCAGTTCGCGCAAAACAGCTTTTGCGGGTCGGCTTGGGCTGGCACAGATGCAGACCCCCAAACGGATCCGTAAAAAAGTATATTCGCGGAATATACTTTTTTACGGGTCGGCTTTGCGGGGTCTGCTCTTTGCGCTGCTGCATCCCGCATATTATCAGCCCGCGAATATCAAATACAACATAATTCAACAATCGAAAACAAACTGAATTATTCCAATCAAACATAATACAATAATCATCCGCATTACAAATAATTATTCAAATAACCGTAGCAAACTTAAATAGTGCAATACAATATTTGTCATGAATACAAATACAAATGAATACAAAAATAAGTCACTGTCCAGCCCTTTGCCAATGGTGCTCAATGAGATCTTCCTGAAGTTAAAAGTGGGTGTCTGTATTTTCAATCTCCTTGTATGTCTGAAGAAAAGCTCTAATGCGGTTTGGGTCTCTTGTTGGTTTGACACGGCTACCCACATTGTCGTAAAAGAATTCTAAGTTCAACCCTCTCTCATCTTTAAGAATCATATTGTGCAGGATAACACAGCATGTCATTATGTTCTTCAAGGTTTTCTTATCCCAAAAATGAGCAGGACCACGGACAATGGCAAACCTAGATTGCAAAACACCGAATGCTCTTTCAATGTCTTTTCGGGCTACCTCTTGCACCCTTGCAAATTCACATTGTTTTTTTGTTTTGAGTTCTTTGATGCTCTTGACAAATGTGCACCAAGGAGGGTATATACCATCTGCAAGATAGTACCTTTTTATGTATTCGTGCCCATTGATACTGTAGTTGCAAGCAGGAGCATCACCACTAGCAAGCCTAGCAAATAAATGAGACCGTTGCAACACATTGATATCATTGAGAGTGCCCGGCATACCAAAAAAGCAATGCCAAATCCATAAATCCTCGGATGCTACGGCCTGTAGCGCAATTGTTGCATCATGAGACTTGCCACAATACATTCCTTGCCAAGCCTTGGTACATTTTTTCCAATTCCAATGCATACAATCAATGCTACCTAGCATGCCAGGCCAACCTCTCCTTTCATTTGATGCCATCAATTTCTTTGTGTCATCTTCATTGGGTGCCCGAAGATACTCAGGACCGAAGACACGAATGATCACTTTCGAAAATCTACGCACAGACTCAATTGTGCTATCTTCACCAATGCGAAGATACTCATCGGCATAGTCAGCCGGAACGCCATATGCAATCACCCGCATAGCTGCGGAGATTTTTTGATATGCACTAAATCCCTTTAAGCGCGACATTTCTTCTTTGAGTAAAATACCGGCAATTTGACTCGCAAGCTTTAACAATTTTCACAGAGGGATCGGCGCATTCGGTACCTTCTCCGGAAGAGGTGCGGAGGATATGTAGGATTCTCCGCGAAATAGTCTTGCATCAACATCTTGTTCCCAAGATGGCGATTCCGACGAATGCACAAACGACCGACAGTCGATCCTCGTCTCCTCTTCCGGTGCTCGTCTTCATGCTCCTTCACGGCAAGCGCCATGACTAATGTTTGCTGCCGGAAGTTCGCAAGCATGCTCTCAACATCCGAGTCGTCCGAATCGGACGAATCGGATAGCAAGAACTTCTCGCACGGGGTCAACTCCATCTACACGCACACCGGCGCGTTAA